ATCGCTCCACGCGAAGCCCAACGCATTCGAGAACAGAAGCCAGATCGGATCATGACTAGTAGGTTTGTGATAATCGAGAAGCATGAAGACGGAGAATCAAAGATCAAGAGTCGGTGGTGCTTGCGTGGTCATCATGACCCAGATTTGTTCACCAAGGTACTCTCCGGTAGATGCCATTCACCCACGCTCTCCCAATTTGGACGAAGTTTGATTCTTCAGATGTTGACTAGCAACAAGTGGGTCATGCACTTGGGGGACATTAAAGGAGCATTTTTGGAGGCAGATGTCCGAGACAAAGCCCTTGCAAACCCTGTTTATTCAGAACTACCACCTGGGGGAGTGCCGGGCGTGGAAGCAGGATCCCTGGTACAGGTGTTGGGCAATATCTACGGGGCAAATGACGCTCCTCATGAATGGTATTGCGAATTCAACCGGGTTGCACAGGAGGCCGGATTCACCAAGAGCAAATTTGACAATTGCCTATACCTTTGCTACAATGATCAAAATCAATTGGAAGGCATTTTGGGTGCTCATGTTGACGATACAATCACTGGGGGAGAAGGGAAACAATATGAGAAGGCAATTCGGCATTTGCGTGCCAGGTTTCCGTTCCGGAAGTGGCGTTCAGGGACAGGGGAGTTTCTGGGAACCACATACACCCAAGACCCGATGACCCATGAAATTGAGTTCCAACAGCAAGACTATGCAGAACATATCAAGCCGATAAAGATCTCTAAGGAAAGAGCCAGAAAACCATGGCTCCTAGCAACTCCGCAGGAAGTTTCAGCTTTGAGAGCTGTGAACGGTGCATTGAGCTGGATCAGCACTCAGTCGAGACCAGATTTGGCAGTGCAGACATCGCTCAGTCAACAATGTTTTCCTGCACCAACTGTTCAAGACCTAATCCAGGTGAATCAAGCAGTGCGTCGAGCACGCCAACAAGCTGATTTGAAGATCCGTGTACCACACATCACACTAGAAGAACTTACTGTGTGTTTTTGGTCAGATGCGGCCTTTGCAAACAGTTCAGAACTGAAGACACAGGGAGGTTGGTTGATTTGCTTCACTTCAGACAAGATGCGACAAGCTGTTGATGTGCCAGTGCATTGTTTCTCCTGGAAGTCATACCGCATGCCAAGGGTTGTAGCTTCGACCATGTCGGGCGAAGCACGGGCTTTTTTCGACGGCCTCAGGTGTGCGAATGGATGCTGCTAATGTTGTCAGAGTGTTTGGACGGTCCCTTTGATCTAGAATCTGCACAAGAAGTTTTGAACAAACGATCACCCATAGGGATCACTGACTGCAGGTCATTATATGATCATTTGACGTCCTTGGGAAGTGGAGGGGTTCTTGATGACAAACGAACCGCGATAGACATCGCCATCATTCGACAATGCATCCAACGGACCAGATTGGAACCCAGATGGTGCCCCACTACTCACATGGCAGCCGACGCACTCACGAAAGATCGTGCCGAGCCAGTAGATTTGTTAAGATCAATTCTCCGCAGCTCCCGCTACCAGCTAGCGGACGATCAAGTCATGATGGATCGCAGACGCGCCGAGAAAGATCGAAGACGTCGTGTGGCTCAGAGTCGGTCTGAGAAGCAGAAAGTCGAGAAGGCCGAAGGTTGAGGTTTCATGCCATACCGTCTGCATACTTTAGTGTGAGAGGGTTTTCACTGAGCAGAGCAGTTTTTGTGAGCATGATACCATAATTTGGTGCATAAGTCCTTGAGCCATAGAATAATGCCATATCCACGATAGATAACATGTCCTTCAGTGAGCGTTAATTAATTGATGTGCAGTTGGCTTTCACCTTGATTCGTTTTGGGGGAATCTTGAAAGGGAAGCACAGTTGTTTAGATCAGATGATTTTGTTTACCAAATTTTGCAGTTGTTTGATGATGCAAGCGGTAACGGTGTGATTCAGATCACTGACCGCCGATGCTCGAAGGATTTTGGTTCAGCCGATCACGAGGGCGAGACATTTGCCTTCACAAAGAGTCCAGGGGTGATTCGACACGGAGTCCCGCTCAGTTCCAGTGTCTCCCGAGGAACTTGCAGCGGCTCGTGAGATCCTCAGCCGTGCAAATCAGTACGGAATCTCATCCAAAGCAAGCATGGAGAGTGCTGGCTCAATGAACGATTCGTGCAAGCGACTTCGAGACCATGCCCAGCCAGAGGCTGATGAGTGGGAGCCTGTGACCTACGAAGAAGGTCATGGATCTTCCATCATGTGTGAGCGTGCAATCCCGAAGGAAATTGCCAGTCAGATGCCCGTGATGCCCAAGGCTAAGGCCATCGATCTTCCTCCTGGAGTGACCGATCTCCAGGACTGGGGTTCAACGATCTGTGCATTGCCCAAGGTGGCAGGTGAGAAGCTATCTTACCGTGAGCTGGTGAGTGACCCCAAGCGTGCTCCTTATCTGAAGTGGATCTGTGATCACGGAAAGAATCGGGGCGGCCGATTCGAAGATCTGGCCAAGTATTTGCAGGCAGTGGGATTTGAGCAGAAGACTGAGAGCACTTGTTACCCCGGAACCACAGAAGCCCGTGAGAAGAAGAAGTGATCTATGGCTGGACGAAAGCATGCCGATTGCATTCGATGCTGCAGCACGAGTCCGGAAGATTTGTGCCTAAAGCTTGATAGATAGAAGACTATAATAGGAGTTTAAAAGCAGTGTCCAAGCAAGCAGGCATTTCGTATGCATTCGTTCGTGGACAGGCAACCCATTTGGCTTAGGCAAGGCTAAAAAGGGGCGGCCGCGCGTTTAGGGTTAGGTTTCCCTTGTTTGGCCAAGACGGCCTCGGTTTGAACA